ATGAATGGAATTGGTTAATGATTTTCAAGCGAGTGTCTCCATAATTTTTGGATGCTTATTCAAAAAGTGGAATCAATGATGTGCGGATTTTTAAATTTATATACCACCACTAAATGAAGGAATGCCTTCGCTCTATTGTTAAGAGAGCTTTCATTTCTAGGAAAGACAAATGACGATATAGATATATTGTTATGAACTACATATATACTGAAGCTTTCAGAAAATCTATTTCGTTGAAAATTCGCCCAAATTGAAAGAAATATATGGGGTATGAAGTCATAAAAATGATTGAATTCTTGATAGAAAATATCTTCGTCAGGTTTGGTGACAAGATCTTCCAACAATCAGATTACCTAAGGGAACAAACTGTTCCTCTCTTGGTTGACTTGTGTATGTTTTCATGCAACGCTGAATTTATCATAAAGACATTATAAAATCCTTCCATTTTATTTATATATACATCTATTGCGTCTTGTCTTTAAATAAAAAGATATTTATTTATCATGCCCATTGTATATACCCATCAGAATCGGAAATCAAGGACATGACACACTCTTCTACATCAGTCGCTAAACTCGATCTTTTTCTACAACGAAACCTACAGAGAGAGCTTCTACCATTTCTTGATAGTACAATCCCTTCGTCCCCAACCTATGCTGTTTAAATATTGCAGTTGCTTCGATATTCCAGGGCTTGTTCACAGAATCACAATTTTCGTGCAAGATGTTGGTTACCGACAGATATGGAGTTTCGAGAGATTCAGGTTTTTGGAGACTATGGGGAATTTTTACAGCCGCCATGAAATGATCTCGTCTAGAAACCTATATCTTTGTGCGACATAAAGTTGGCGTGTTTGATGCTCGTTAGACTAAGATTAACATGGCGTGTAACGACGGTGAAGCAGACGACAGTCATCCTTCCGGAAAACCCAGTCTTATTATTTTTGTACTTTTTCAGGTGTCTCTCTCTTGTTTGTATTTTGCCCTAGTTATAACTAATTTGTGCTTGAATTGTGATCTCGTTAATGTTTCTGTATTTTCTTTGTTGCAAGTGAGTACCTCTGTGGTATTGAGAGGTGAGTTTTTTTTTTAAATTTTGTCTCCTGTATGACGAAGGAATGGCTTATTGGCTTTTAATATTGTCCACCGTATGACAAAGGCATTGGTTAATGACTTTTTATTTTGTCCGCCGTATGACAAAGGCATTGGTTGATGACTTTTCATTTTGTCCGCCGTATGACAAAAATGGATGGGTTAAGGACTTTCCAGTTTGTCCCTTCTATAATGAAGGAATGGGTTGTTGACTTTTTTTATTTTGTCTCCTGCATGACAAAAGGATGGGTCAACGACTTTTCAGTTTGTCCCCTGTATGAAAAAAAGATTTTATTATTGGCTTTTCCGTTTGTCATCCGTATGACGGATGGTTGGGTTACAGACATTTTTGTATGGCCATCTTCCCATCCTAAAACGTACGATATTGTGTTTTTTTTTTTTTTTTTTTTTCATTTTGAATCGCCGTTGTTCCCCGACGGCTGAGGGGTGATACACAATTTCACATCATTTATATGGAATTATAAAAAGACTCATCTAGACCCTTTCATCATTCACGAACTATTGAATGGTACAGCGCTTACTGTAGATTCGTCTTAGATACGAACTGGTTCTGTATAGCTTCGAAGTTAGTAGAGCGAGGCCAGATAGTAAATTGGACTAAGCCGACCATTTTCCATGTATTACGCATACATTTACCTGTTAAGGCAGAATAATAATCTAAGTATCATCACATGTACAAGGCGGAGACATTCCATAAGTTCCTCCTTCAGATTTAAATGTAGAAAAAAATCATTGCCTACGCGCTTTGCTGCTTTGTAATCCGGTTTTGACAGACTGATGTTTAATATGAACATGACGATATGCATCGTATATCAGTTTGTGTGTCTAGGAAAAACCATGAAACATTCCACCTGATTTAATCTATATAGTCTGGCAATTGTAAACCGTGATAGGAAATAGCTTCCAAGGACATTCAAACAAATCCGAGACGATTTCGGCATGTATCACGCACATTAAGTATCTAAACATCACGTCATACTCTAACCGCCTTGTACCCATTATGAGTTTTGTTTGTACAATTAAACACCACGGTATTATCAACGGTCAGTAAAAGTATACAATGGTTGTGTACATCACAGCAGTAGTGTTCACTGACCGATGTAAAAATTAAAGCGTGGACTTGTAAGTTCGCACAATAACAAAATATCCCATTGTGATCTAATTCATCCGCTTCACTGCTGATCACATAGAGTCAGCAAACCTGTAATAAAGATATTTGATACTAAAGGTGTTACGACGTTCAAATTACTTTAAGTCGTGAACTTTTTTTTGGTAGGTAAACCGAAGTCTCTGTGAGGTTACGTAGTGTAAAATACTGCAGGGTTCAGACTAATACGCAAATGTATCAGTATGAGTTATCTACAACTATTCAACTATTACCAAATATAAAACCATTCCGAACATATACATCACAACCGGTACAAAACACTGCAGCCACTTCGAGATATCAAAACTGGTCCCAAAATAAAACCATTCCGAGATATATACATCGGAACCGGTACAAAAAACGGCATCCACTTCGAGATATCAAAACTAGTACCAACAATAAAATGATTCCCAGATATATACTTCAGAATCGGTAAAAAAACTGCAACCACTAAGAGATATCAAAACTGGTACCAAAATTAACATAATACAAATACTACAACCATCCCCAGATATCGGGACCCGTACAAATATTACAACCATCACCAGATACCAGGACCCGTACAAATACTACAACCATCACCAGATACCAGGACCCGTACAAATATTACAACCATCACCAGATACCAGGACCCGTACAAATACTACAACCATCACCAGATACCAGGACCCGTACAAATATTACAACCATCACCAGATATCAGGACCCGTACAAATACTACAACCATCCCCAGATATCAGGACCCGTACAAATACTACAACCAAGCCCATATATCAGGACCCGTACAAATACTACAACCATCCCCAGATATCAGGTCCTGTACAAATACTACAACTATCCCCAGATATCAGGGCTGGTACAAATACTACAACCATCCCTAGATATCAGGACCCGTACAAATACTACAACCATCCCCAGATATCAGGTCCTGTACAAATACTACAACCATCCCCAGATATCAGGTCGTGATACTACAACCATCCCCAGATATCAGGGCTGGTACAAATACTACAACCATCCCTAGATATCAGGACCCGTGCAAATATTACAACCATCACCAGATACCAGGACCCGTACAAATACTAAACCATCCCCAGATATCAGGTCCTGTACAAATACTACAACCATCCCCAGATATCAGGACCCGTACAAATACTACAACCATCCCTAGATATCAGGTCCTGTACAAATACTACAACCATCCCCAGATATCAGGTCCTGTACAAATACTAAACCATCCCCAGATATCAGGTCCTGTACAAATACTACAACCATCCCCAGATATCAGGTCCCGTACAAATACTACAACCAACCCCAGATATCAGGACCCGTACAAATACTACAACCATCACCAGATACCAGGACCCGTACAAATACTACAACCATCCCTAGATATCAAGTCGTGATACTACAACCATCCCCAGATATCAGGTCGTGATACTACAACCATCCCCAGATATTAGGACCTGTACAAATACTACAACCATCCCCAGATATCAGGTCGTGATACTACAACCATCCCCAGATATCAGGTCGTGATACTACAACCATCCCCAGATATCAGGACCCGTACAAATACTACAACCATCCCCAGATATCAGGGCTGGTACAAATACTACAACCATCCCCAGATATCAGGACCCGTACAAATACTACAACCATCCCCAGATATCAGGACCCGTACAAATACTACAACCATCCCCAGATATCAGGGCTGGTACAAATACTACAACCATCCCCAGATATCAGGACTCATACAAATACTACAACCATCCCCAGATATCAGGACTCATACAAATACTACAACCATCCCCAGATATCAGGACCCGTACAAATACTACAACCATCCCCAGATATCAGGGCTGGTACAAATACTACAACCATCCCCAGATATCAGGGCTGGTACAAATACTACAACCATCCCCAGATATCAGGTCCTGTACAAATACTACAACCATCCCCAGATATCAGGACTCATACAAATACTACAACCATCCCCAGATATCAGGACAGTTATTAAAATGTTCATTAAGAATTACCACATATCTATCCGGACTTTCAGCATCTCCTTATATGGCAACCAGTAACAAATGGTTTAATCCCTGGTAACAAGCACTGTCATCGTGTTACATAACATGATTTGTTGATGTCTTACAAGGCTGTACCTCCCATTAAACCAAAGTGATGCATTTTGATAATCTTACCACGAACTTAGTTATGTCAGCCCACGATTTTATTATCTATCCTTTCATCCTTTGAAGATCATTTTAAAAGCATGGTAAATATTTGATCAGGGTTTGTTTGTATTGGTTTTACATCGTGAAGGTAAGGGCACATTCATTACATTTGATATAAACATTTCTATGGTTTCTCACTAAAGAATGGTAAAGACAAAACGCCTTCCATTTCGGAGACTGATCAATCAACGAGCACAAGAAATCACATGAAATGTAGCATGTCTATTTTTATCACACTTGTATAACAAGTTGTCATAGACACAATTATTGATGTCGAATGTTATTCTGTCCCCCTTCATTGTTCATGGTAATTTCTACCAACAATGGGATTTCAAGTCGTCACACATTTAACAGGTTTACATGCACATTTCCTGTCAACAGATGTATTATGTGGTGTGGCTATTGCGTAGTGTGTAATTCTATATCGACAAACGACCTCTGGTAATTAGTTTACCTGATCAACACCTGTACAATGTTGTACACCTGTCAGTTATGAAAACTTACCTTCCTTCACTGGACCTTTTGGCAGACGACATAGACACGTGGTCAGCATCGTCCAGTTTACTGTCCGAACTGGACGCGTCACTGGTCAGTCCATCGATACTGATAGTACCGTTTTGAACAAGTGTCCCATTTCCGTTGTAATTTTTATATCCATTTGTCACAGGGGTTTCTGTATCCGCCATGTTTGACAGTTAAAACACGTTCAATATAATTTTTCTCAATACCGGCGTTTATATAGGTTTGTGTTCGTTCTCCCATTCACCTGTGTCAAGGTACACACAGGTCTAGGTATAGAATGTACCGGTGTTGTTGGAGTGTAAACCTGTTCGTCTGGTTTAGTCAAGCGTGTCCAACAAAAATTGTATGACAACATTGGTCGCACTAAAAGCAGACAGCGCCATAATGGATAATAACAGTAGCTCGAGGCAAAGATGATTGTTATTGTCTAAAGATACGCTATATTTACAGTTCATTACAAGCCGATTTACAGCTCCACAAACTATGACCAATCACAGTAACAAAACCGCTTAGTCCATAGGTATTGGTGAATAGACAATTTCTCCACAGCGATCGCACAATGCATTACTCACATTTCTCCATTGTTCAAATAAATGAATAATTAAAGCCGCAAGGGCGTTGAAATGGGATTTAACTTACACATACCTAATAGCTTACTAGTTTACGTTGTTTTCTGAAGATGAGGGGGGGGGGGGCGTTTCAAGATGGCAACGACGTAGCATATTATTCAGTAGCATCGACATTTTAGATTAATGTTTATAATCTTAATGAGTAATTGTAAAATCGTGACAGAAATGTTTCACATCATCACTTATGAGAAAGATACAAACTTTGAAATTTATGTAATATATATCCGAAGTTGATTTTGATCGTAAGTGAGAGTTTAAAGCGGTTAGAGTGTAATGACTTTCTATAGTTTTACTAGTTCTCTTGCTCCTGTGTTCCACATTTAATATTGATAAATGTGTTTTTAAAGTATTTAACATGTCTGTACGTTTTTAATTATGTTTCATTGATACAAGAAATATTGAAACGTGGAGGTTTTTTTTATCGATGGGGATATGTCATCGAAATTTTAAAAGATTTCTGGCTGTTTTAGCCATCTCCTTACACGATTTCATGGTAGCACAAATAATTATATAATATTGACATAAATGTATAAATATTTACAACAGTATTCAGCAAACGCTAGGCTAAATACGTTGTCATAAATTCTATATTTAACAATGCATAATTCCGGAAAATCACCGCTTCTTTGTCAAAATTCCAAAGGAAAATTCACTTTTTATTTTGAATACTTGTCTATATTTATTTGCATATTTCTATTTAAAGAATTTGAGTATAGTATGGATATCAAAACTCAGTGTCGATCAATGAAGTACTCGTCTGTTGTGGTCATTTCATTTTACTTTGCTGAAATATAACTGCATATTGTATAGACAAGTGATTTTTTTGCCTTACAAGGTCACCTTCAACAACTGTCAGAGCTGTGATGTAACTTGTGTCGGTCTATCTCGTGACATGAATCCAGAACATTTTAGTAAAAGACTGGCGTTTTTACAAAGGTTGTCACACATAATTTATCACGGAAGCTAACTCAGGTTTAGTCCAAACAAACACATGACAACAGACTTTGTGGTCGACGGCTTAGAAATACAATATCGTGGTCTAATATTTCGAGATTATGATTTCTAGTTAAATTTAATGTCAAATAAAACCACCTTTTCAAATCTTGAAATTGACGGAATATTAAAATCAACATAGGGCGTGAATTCATGCAAGAAAACTAGCCGTAACCGGCAAAAACCAAAATTGGTTTTAAAACTAATAGTACTTCTATGAAATAGGACTGAATATAGAAAATATCTAGCTCTGCCAGAAAATGATATTTAATGTTTCGTCCTTAACGATCTTACATATAGGTCTTATATCCGCCTCAGTTTCGTTCGCGTGTCTTTTCACTCTCTGTTAACGATGTTTCGGTGACATTGGTCTGGTAATAAAGTAACCCTTTATTACCTTGTCAGCATGGGTATATTGACCTCAGGGTAGATAGCCTGTGACCACTTAAGAAATAAAAATCGACTGGGATGAATTGTGCAGGTCAATGTCTCTTGTTGACCAAGTTAACTGCCGAAGACGATTGACGCGGAACGCAATCAATCTCTACTGTTTCCTATTTCTAGGACGAAGCACATACATAATTCCGCAAAACTAATTTACGGCAATTTTCTCATTACAGACACGTTACTACCACAGACATTTCCATGGTGAATAAGAGGTGAAACATAGATGGGATCATTAGTAAAAAAAGACGTCAAAATTTCGACGGAGAGACAAACCATTCACGGAACCAACAACACCAAAGACGTTACCATGGCGATTGAGAGTGAATCTGCACGGAACCATTAACACAAAGATGTTACCATGATATATGAAGGTGAACCCTTTTTAGAACCGTCAATACCAAAGGCGTTACCATAGCGATTGAACCACGAACACCAAAGATGTTACCATAACGATCTAGAGGCAAACCCTTCAAGAAACCATTAGTATCAAAGACGTTACCATAGCGATCTAGGGACGAGCCCTTCAAGAAACCACCAGTGTCAAAGACGTTACCATGACGATTTAGAGGCGAACCCTTCAAGAAACCACCAGTACCAAAGACGTTACCATGACGATCTAGTGGCGAGCCCTTCATGAAACCACCAGTGTCAAAGACGTTACCATGACGATTTAGAGGCGAACCTTTCAAGAAACCATCAGTGTCAAAGACGTTACCGTTACGATCGACAGGCGAACCCTTTAAGAAACCATCACGTTTCCAGACAACACTCACGTGACACAATCTCTTGTACATATATCTACAGACGAAAAATAGCATGCTTGAGTACAAAGGAATGTCTGGGAATATCAGGTTTCTATAAATCTTACCATCCCAGACAAGATGCTGTAGCCTTTCAATTAGTGCAATTGTTATGAATCGTGTACATTCCGAAAAATAGACATTGATGAGTTGATACCATTGTAAAATTATGACGCCATTGTTTCGTTTATTGTGCGTTTTGTTACATGTATATAGGAAGAGCGTGGGTTGATGTGACACAGAAGAAACATGACGATGGCAAAACGATACATGCTATCTTTGTAAGATCCTTACTTATAGAAACACGAAGGACACACTGGGTTAGAGTACTCTTAAGTAATAATATATGCCGGACTAGATCGTGGTGTCCCATTGTATGAGGCGTACAGGTATAAACAGGTGCTTTGTCCGATCTATACACCCACAAATTAGATGTCCAGTTCTACTGTTAAGCCCAGTTTAAGATTACTATCAATGACCAGTGTGTCGTGCACGAACACCTGTCGCGACCACCATGGGAGTTCGCTTTCTGTAATCTTTAATCTACTCAGGACGGTAGTTTCCAGCTTTGTGGTCATTGATATCGCTTTTTCTAGCAACATTATTGACGGCTATCGGATCACATGATACAAAATGTACATATTTTATTATCCCCTGGAGAGTACTTCCGCAAAACAACACAATGTAAACATTTTGTAAGATTTCTACGCAAGCTGAGTGCACCTATTTTGTTCCACATTGGTAAGTATCAAAGAGGAGTTTAAGAAAGACTGTAATGAGACCTAGAACAGTGTAATTAGTATACCTAGCTTTATTAGTAACACGTGATCAATAAAATGAACCCTGCTATGTGAACCGATGTAACATTAAGAAATGTTCACAACAGACCTACTCTTCCTCGCATTCTTTTTCTGAACAACACGTGCTAAAATTGACGAAATAATTTCTTAAGTCATTTATTCAAAGCAACATCAAGAAATATTTTCTTTGCTTGATTTGGTTAATTTGGTGTTGTACCGTGCTAAGGCATTTCAAAATACCAGAATATGAATTTGAATATTAATCAGGCAGAGGACACATCATGCTTTTTCTATTAGTGTTTTCACTTTAGTGTAATATTTGTTCATTATGGAAAAACTTTACTGAAAATCTGTTGGTGGTAGAAAAAACCAACGAAAAAAAACCCAGCATAAGTGGAGATCGGGACCTAAACATCTTTATCTGTCGCTGTGACAGGATACGCACGTTTCTGGTCATTAAGACTCAACGATGCACGTTTTGATGTAACAGGTAATGGGTTAGCACTCAATGGGGGTCGTCAGATATATATGTAATTAACAAACTGTATCTACACGTGTCTTATCGGTACACGGACTTTACGATCAGGCGGTGACGGCGTTTTTAACAACAATTAACTTATCTCCTGGTAGTGTTTCATCGTTTGCCTGTTAATTTGCTAGGTTAATCGCCTCTCGAAATTCCAGGTTCATTTTGAAGAGGGGTCTCCTTACATAAGCCGGTGGCTACCTCAGTGAACACGATACGGAAGGCCCGTCGCAGGACAATAAGAGTAAAGAGTCTTGCCATTTGGCACAACTACATCAGCACAGACTATTTCTCAACAAGAAGCGTCAAACTGCGTGCAACAGTGTACCCGAGATTTTTCGTAGACCAACACTCTAACTGACTGCCCCCTGTATTGTACTCACATTTCAGACTAGCTGTTTTAGGAACAGTTACGAATGCAGTGCTAAAGAGTAAAATATTGGCACTTTGTTGTATCTTCAGCGATCATTTTAATACAAACATCGTTTATTAGGGTTAAAGTCACAAGATTTCCTCCAAAAGGATCTCATCTCATTTGTCTTTGAGCAAATATCGAGAAACGAAACATGTCAGTTATTCTGTCTATCACATTTTTGCAGTTATATATAAATTTTCATGGTGAAGATATCATTTACATTTTCAATGATTGATTTTTTTATTATTTTCACTCATTTCGACCACAGATGGCTGTATTTATCGTGAGCTTGAAACATCTATTTCTCCCTGAAGCCCCTGTGCTACCCTTGCGAAATGCTGAAATTGATTTCATTACGGGGCTGCTGTACCTCCCCGTCTAGATTTTGACTTTTCTTTCAATTCTGTTTGATCCTTAATCTCCCCCAAGCTTTTAAAATGATATAAATTCCTTAGTCGCCTCCAAGACTGCAAGACTTAGGCTCTTTTCATCACTGACGAGTCCTAGAAGGACGAAACAGCTGTATGATGTAGCATCACTGACGTGTCCTAGAAGGACGAAACAGCCGTATGATGTAGCATCACTGACGTGTCCTAGAAGGACGAAACAGCTGTATGATGTAACATCATTGACGAGTCCTAGAAGGACAAAAACAGCTGTATGATGCAGTTTAATTCATTGTTTGGCTCTACTGTATCTCACTCTAAATTATGAAAAGGCGCTCTTCACTTGTGTGTCTTTTGTACAATCCTTATTGTACAATTCGCACGTATGAATTCTGAGATGCATTATTTAGTTCAAATGGCTTTGACTTTTCAATATTTTATTTTCGTCGTAATCACGGTCGATAGTAAGAATACATCCCTATGTTTAAAAACCACGAGATTTTAGCGTCCAGTGTATTGATTTACATAAATAACAACACAGTGATTGCTACACCTGTAGAAATGATACATAGATGGAAAAATAAAATATTATTCTACTTACTTTTGTATTTTAAAAGAGAAATCTGCATGAATAATATATAGCCTACAGACAACAATCTGTTTTTCCGTTACACTTAAAAGTAATATTTTGTTCAAAAGTATTACAAAATGAAGAAAAATAATTTCTTGTTTCTCAAGATTTTGTTGCGCACGAAAATCAGAAGAAGAAAAAGCTTTACACAAACAAAAAACAATTTATTGTTTGTATTCAATGTCAGTTTGCGTGAGAAATTGTAAGTTACAGAGGTTGATTTTCCTGTCGAGATGCAGCTCAAGGGAAGTAACTCAATTTATAATATACTGTCTTTCCTTCTATACACGCTTGTCTATACATGTGATCTGTTTCATGTAGTATTGTAATATATAAAGTCATTATGTTGTTTGATTAATATAAATAAAAAAAAAAAAAAAAAACACTTTCGGTATAATTTGGTTATTGCCCTGTATCCTGTCTCCCTATCGTGTTACGCAGACTTTAGCTTGTTTATTGTGAGTGTTGAGACATACAACAGGTCTGATTACAAGACCACTGGCAAGATCACGTGGTTCATGTCTATCTCCTAATCATGAAACTAATTTCCAAAAGGAAACAATAAAAAAAAAAAAAAAAAAAAAACCCCCCCCCCCCCCAAAAAAAAAAAAAAAACAAAACAAAACAAAACAAAAAAACAATAAAAAACAACAATGGACTCTTAGCAAGCGTCAAAGACCCACTTATTATCGACTTGTATCTGAGTTTAAGAAATATAAATACACCGCCGAAGTCCCTACGACCTAGGATTACAGATTTCTAGCCCAGAATGATACAACACGAGTCTATTCGATTTCAGGAAAGCGTTATTGATCAGTACGGTGATCGACAATGATCTCATCTGCAAATATGGTAAAATCAAAATGAAAACTATCATTCATATTACCCCGGATGTTACGCAAGGTTCATGTCAAGATACTGTGGAATTATTGGTTAATACGGAGAGTGCACAAAACTCGAATCCAGTTATTGATGGGCTCAATAAAATCTTGAAGATTAAAAAAAAACTTTTAAAAAAAATCATTTTTAAAATGCTGCATGCCGAAGGCTTTCAGTGAATAGCCTGGCCATGAAGCTATTTCTCGATGTAAGATGCTGGTTTGATCAGGAAGATACTAGAAGAACGAGTTATCTAAAATCTACTTCATCTTTTATTTATTTGTTTGCTTGTTTGTTTGTTTGTTTTTTTTTTTTTTTGCTTTGTTCAAACCTCAGATGGGCATCCCATGCATGAGATTTGAAAATCCATACCGGGTGTTGAGGAACGTGCCGTATTGTGCTGTGAACCAGAGTAAGGTACTTTTATGATGGCACAAGGGGTGCCTCACGTGTTCTGTTACGTTAGTTATCCAAAAGCTATGACAGTTGGTGTGTAGCAAGGCGAAGGGGGATAACTCTGAGATACATTATACTATAATGCTACTGAAAACTGTACTGTAATCACCCAGTGATATATATATATATAACAATAAGTATATACTTACATGTACCGATAACTGTGTTGTTACAGACTAACTGACCATAGATTACTATACAGCTTGATGCTCATATATCCTTCCATGTTCTAAAACTTCAACTTCTTTTAAAATCATATTCAGTCATCTTTTCTGTTATTTCACTTGGAAAAAAAAACGATTTACTTGTATTAATATAATTGAGGTGAATAACACAGGCCAAATAAGTAGGTATACCCGGATTCAAGAATCTATTGATTAAGTAACGTTCGGCATATATTCTTGTGAAAATAGAACATACACGAAAACGATATCCCCTCGTGATAACAATGACTAGTGAAAAACACAACACAAATGATGAGGGCTCTCAGGTGAACATCGTCTGGTGATACAAACATGTAGAGCCAAGGAATAGATCGTCTGGTGATACAAACATGTAGAGTCTAGGAATAGATCGTCTGGTGATACAAACATGTAGAGTCTAGGAATAGATGGTCTGGTGATACAAACATGTAGAGTCCAGGAATAGATGGTCTGGTGATACAAACATGTAGAGTCTAGGAATAGATCGTCTGGTGATAAAACATGTAGAGTCTAGGAATAGATCGTCTGGTGATACAAACATGTAGAGTCCAGGAATAGATCGTCTGGTGATAAAACATGTAGAGAGTCTAGGAATAGATCGTCTGGTGATATAAACATGTAGAGAGTCTAGGAATAGATGGTCTGGTGATACAAACGTGTAGAGAGTCTAGGAATAGATCGTCTGGTGATACAAACATGTAGAGAGTGTAGGAATAGATCGTCTGGTGATACAAACATGTAGAGAGTGTAGGAATAGATGGTCTGGTGATACAAACATGTAGAGAGTGTAGGAATAGATCGTCTGGTGATAAAACATGTAGAGAGTGTAGGAATAGATCGTCTGGTGATACAAACATGTAGAGAGTCTAGGAATAGATCGTCTGGTGATATAAACATGTAGAGAGTCTAGGAATAGATGGTCTGGTGATACAAACATGTAGAGAGTCTAGGAATAGATCGTCTGGTGATACAAACATGTAGAGAGTCTAGGAATAGATCGTCTGGTGATACAAACATGTAGTCTAGGAATAGATCGTCTGGTGATACAAACATTTAGAGAGTGTAGGGATAGATCGTCTGGTGATACAAACATGTAGAGAGTGTAGGGATAGATGGTCTGGTGATACAAACATGTAGAGCCAAGGAATAGATCGTCTGGTGAAACAAACATGTAGAGAGTGTAGGGATAGATGGTCTGGTGATATAAACATGTAGAGAGTCTAGGAATAGATCGTCTGGTGATACAAACAATTAGAGAGTCTAGGAATAGATCGTCTGGTGATACAAACATGTAGAGAGTCTAGGGATAGATGGTCTGGTGAAACAAACATGTAGAGTCTAGGAATAGATCGTCTGGTGAAACAAACATGTAGAGAGTGTAGGGATAGATGGTCTGGTGAAACAAACATGTAGAGAGTCTAGGAATAGATCGTCTGGTGATACAAACATGTAGAGAGTGTAGGGATAGATGGTCTGGTGATACAAACATGTAGAGTCTAGGAATAGATCGTCTGGTGATACAAACATGTAGAGTCCAGGAATAGATCGTCTGGTGATACAAACATGTAGAGAGTGTAGGGATAGATGGTCTGGTGATACAAACATGTAGAGTCTAGGAATAGATCGTCTGGTGATACAAACATGTAGAGAGTGTAGGGATAGATGGTCTGGTGAAACAAACATGTAGAGTCTAGGAATAGATCGTCTGGTGAAACAAACATGTAGAGTCTAGGAATAGATCGTCTGGTGAAACAAACATGTAGAGAGTCTAGGAATAGATCGTCTGGTGATACAAACATGTAGAGAGTGTAGGGATAGATGGTCTGGTGAAACAAACATGTAGAGAGTCTAGGAATAGATCGTCTGGTGATACAACCATGTAGAGAGTCTAGGAATAGATCGTCTGGTGATACAAACATGTAGAGCCAAGGAATAGATCGTCTGGTGAAACAAACATGTAGAGTCCAGGAATAGATCGTCTGGTGATACAAACATGTAGAGAGTCTAGGAATAGATCGTCTGGTGAAACAAACATGGATAGTCCAGGAATAAAAAGTCTTGTAACACGTACATATCGAGTGTCTAGAAATAGATCGTATGGTGATATATAGCGATACAAATTCTCGTTTGACTTTTTTTTGAGCTGACGAATTACATGCATGTCTACGATGCCGGATGTGTTAAACTGAACCATAATGACAGAAACATTAAGAATTTTCAGTGACCCTCCTACTACCCATCCCGTCAGTTACGTCACACAAAAGTACAGGGCTAGCGATCGATAATTTGACCACAGCAGATGTAAATAATTTATGTCCCTCCGTTGTTTCTATACACCACGCAAATATGATAAACTTTGATGTATTAAAAAGGCTGTAGCGATACCATACATCACCAGAATTCTCTATACGTATCGCCATTAGGTAAAGGAGTGCTTATTTCTGTGACTTTACACAATGCTCATTCATGATATCTGAAATATTTATGGAATTAATTGACGTAAAACAAGTTTGGAACAAAAACTATATTTTATTTATGTAGACATTCCACGGCACCTAAATATGACAATTTCAATACATGGTTAAATATTCACAGCCATTCCTTAATAAACATTCATACATCCGCTCATATCTACTGCATGTACTTTTAATGTGTGAATTATTCTCCAACAGTAACACACTGTTAAGTGTGATGATGACGTATGATACTGTATTATGTATGTCGTTCAGCACAAAAATATATATCCCTCCGCAAGGTCATAACATAAATCCCATTCGCTGTCTCTTGCTTCTGTCTCGGAAGTACGAAATAACAGGATTTTTTATTCCGATTTCTTCCAGGTCCGTATCTTTAAGACGAGCGAATCTTTTACCGTCCATTTTCTTACGTCTCAAACGTTGTATGATTAGTTCGTCAATTTTCATGCATCGGAAGAACACGGTCATCTCATCTGCCGAGAAATTCTGAATATTTCCATCTCCTGGGATTTGAATGGTTCTCGGCGTGTCAGGAACTACTCCTCCTGGAAAAAAGGTTGATAATATCATAACTTAATACCAGAGATTCAAGAAACTGTGGTCTTCAGAGAAAACAAAAATGAACTTTCATTTTCAAGAGGTTTTTTAGTGAGAGTCTTCACTTAAAAGAAATCAATTCGGTTTTTCAAATCTACACAAGTATACGGGTCATCGAGGAAACATATTGAATAGCCAATAGCTCGACGAAAAACCAATACAACCATTAGGCTTACAGCGCCGTTGGCGTCTTGGGAAATCTATTCTCAGCTGAAATGAGCTCTCCCGTTCCTCACCTGAGACTTTCTGCATAAATGCCAAATAAAGGTTCAGAATAAGCTCTTTGAATCGGCATCGTTTCTTGTCACTAGCATTGACAGAACGGTTAAGCCAGAAACAAACATTCAATAACGTGTCTTTACAGACTATCACAACATTTGACAAGGAAGTGAATCAGAATCATTTTCACAAACCATAACAAAATATCAAGGCATTCCTATTGTCACCTTGAGACCAGTTAGACGCAAGATGTAAAAACAGTCAGATTTGTCAAAGCCATGTACAGACGAGGTAGAGTTTAACAGTTGATAAAGGAACGACAAGACATAGACACAGAACCCTTCACAGAACACATGTACCTATTTTTTCATATCCCTTAACAAAGACGTTAGAAAATGTGTTTTCCCGAACCCTGAAAGAACCTTTCACGACATTGCAGAAAAAAAGCATAGCGTTTTCACAGTGCTGTCACAGTCCTCAAGATAACAGACACACGTCTCTCTAACATAATCTCAGGCATAACAGCTCGTCAATTATTAATTGTCAGAACAGATAATGTGCATTTTGTATTTTGGTAGTGGAAGGTCTTTCGCCGTCCAACAAGTTTTGCGTGTGAAAATGCTTCCTATTACAAACCAACTGCCATAACTTACAAATGCACATTATCAACTGTATCTCATGATCTCGGATACTTTCATCGATGAAACCACAGACATGATTTCATGCATAAACGTTTTGCAGATACTCCATTACCTGTGTATACACGCTAGTCTTTAGTTCTTGTTCTTTGTAATATATTTTCGTTGTCAGTGCCAGTGTAGATGAGAACGCCAAATGTCAACAAATACCGTGAGACCGGTACAACGAATATTGTCATCAAATGCATGTACTATGAGACCAGATAAACAAGCGTTATCACCAAATACCGTAAGATCGAACATCAAATATTGTCACAAAATACCGTGAGACAGACACAGGAACATTGTCACAAAATACCATGAGACAGACACAGCAAACATTGAGACAGACACAGGAACATTGTCACCAAATACCATGAGACAGACACAGGAACATTGTCACCAAATACCATGAGACAGACACAGCAAACATTGAGACATACACAGGAACATTGTCACCAAATACCATGAGACAGACACAGGAACATTGTCACAAAATACCATGAGACAGACACAGGAACATTGTCACCAAATACCATGAGACCGACACAGCAAGCATTGTCACAAAATACCATGAGACAGACACAGCAAACATTGAGACATACACAGGAACATTGTCACAAAATACCATGAGACAGACACAGGAACATTGTCACAAAATACCATGAGACAGACACAGGAACATTGTCACCAAATAGCATGAGACAGACACAGGAACATTGTCACAAAATACCATGAGACAGACACAGGAACATTGTCACCAAATAGCATGAGACAAACACAGGAACATTATCACCAAATACCATGAGACAGACACAGGAACATTGTCACCAAATAGCATGAGACAGACACAGGAACATTGTCACAAAATACCATGAGACAGACACAGGAACATTATCACCAAATAGCATGAGACAGACACAGGAACATTGTCACCAAATACCATGAGACAGACACAGGAACATTATCACCAAATACCATGAGACAGACACAGGAACATTGTCACCAAATACCATGAGACAGACACAGGAACATTGTCAAAAAATACCATGAGACAGACACAGGAACATTGTCACAAAATACCATGAGACGGACACAGGAACATTGTCACAAAATACCATGAGACAGACACAGGAACATTGTCACCAAATACCATGAGACAAACACAGGAACATTGTCACCAAATACCATGAGACAGACACAGGAACATTGTCACCAAATACCACGAGACAGACACAGGAACATTGTCACAAAATACCATGAGACAGACACAGGAACATTGTCACAAAATACCACGAGACGGACTCAGCAAGCATTGTCACAAAATACCATGAGGAAGACACAGCAAGCATTGTCACAAAATACCATGAGTCGGACACAGAAACATTGTCACCAAATACCATGAGATAGAACATCAAACATTGTCACCAAATACATGGACCAAGAGACCACAGACTGATATATTGTACCCACCTGCCATATTTTGCTTCCTCCCCGTTACACGCGTATCACGTGATATCAAATCTGACTCATTCTCATGAACTTGCACACAAATATCATGTTGCTGTTTATATAATTAAAAGCGTACACTTGCCATAAAATATGTAAATACATATATTCCGTTTAACAGCGACGTTCCTTCTTTGTACACCTGTACATACAGACAGACTAATATATGACACCCACCCGCCCACCTATCGGTCAACTTACCTGGGGAGTTTGGTGGGGCTCCATTGGTTTCTGTGTCACCATTTACAGCGTGTTTACTGTGAATACAAAAACGATATGACAGAAGAGGGCTTACAATTGATATGTAAATGGTATATCGAATGAATTAATGGCTGTTTCTGGGGATGTAATTGAATATCAGCATTATTCAACATAATGGTTACATCTTTCCATTTATCAATTTTTACCAAGTGAATATAAAACATAAAGAAACGCAAAGAAATATGATATTAATTTTCTGCGACATCAGAGCAGTTTTCAACTACAAGTAAAACAATAAACGCTGCTTGTTGATACCGACAGAGCAGTCTACAATTACCACTAAATATATCACTACTTATACCACTAAATACACCACTACTGATACCACTAAATACATCTCTACAATGACCACTAAATACATCACTACTGATACCACTAAATACATCTCTACAATGACCACTAAATACATCACTACTGATACCACTAAATACATCTCTACAATTACCACTAAATACATCTCTACAATTACCACTAAATACATCACTACTGATACCACTAAATACATCTCTACAATGACCACTAAATACATCACTACTGATACCACTAAATACATCACTGATACCACTAAATACATCACTACTGATACCACTAAATACATCTCTACAATTACCACTAAATACATCACTACTGATACCACTAAATACATCACTACTGATACCACTAAATACATCTCTACAATTACCACTAAATACATCACTACTGATACCACTAAATACATCACTACTGATACCACTAAATACATCACTACTGATACCACTAAATACATCACTACTGATACCACTAAATACATCTCTACAATGACCACTAAATACATCCCTATTGATACCACTAAATACATCTCTACAATTACCACTCAATACATCTCTACAATGACCACTAAATACATCACTTCTGATACCACTAAATACATCTCTACAATGACCACTAAATACATCACTACTGATACCACTAAATACATCACTACTGATACCACTAAATACATCACTACTGATACCACTAAATACATCTCTACAATTACCACTAAATACATCTCTACAATTACCACTAAATACATCACTACTGATACCACTAAATACATCTCTACAATTACCACTAAATACATCACTACTGATACCACTAAATACATCACTACTGATACCACTAAATACATCACTACTGATACCACTAAATACATCACTACTGATACCACTAAATACATCTCTACAATTACCACTAAATACATCACTACTGATACCACTAAATACATCTCTACAATTACCACTAAATACATCACTTCTGATACCACTAAATACATCACTACTGATACCACTAAATACATCACTACAATTACCACTAAATACATCACTACTGATACCACTAAATACATCTCTACAATACCACTACTGATACCACTAAATACATCTCTACAATTACCACTAAATACATCACTTCTGATACCACTAAATACATCTCTACAATTACCACTAAATACATCACTACTGATACCACTAAATACATCACTACTGATACCACTAAATACATCACTACTGATACCACTAAATACATCTCTACAATTACCACTAAATACATCTCTACAATTACCACTAAATACATCACTTCTGATACCACTAAATACATCTCTACAATTACCACTAAATACATCACTACTGATACAACTAAATACATCACTACTGATACCACTAAATACATCACTACTGATACCACTAAATACATCTCTACAATGACCACTAAATATATCTCTACAATTACCACTAAATACATCACTACTGATACCACTAAATACATCTCTACAATTACCACTAAATACATCACTACTGATACCACTAAATACACCTCTATCGATACCACTAAATACATCTCTACAATGACCACTAAATACATCTCTACAATGACCACTAAATACATCTCTACAATTACCACTAAATACATCAATATCGATACCACTAAATACATCATTTCTGATACCACTAAATACATCACTACTGACATCACTACAGACATCACTAAACACATCACTAAACACATCACTACAGACATCACTACTGACCTCACTACAGACATCACTATTGACCTCACTACAGACATCACTACTGACATCACTACTGACATCACTACAGACATCACTACATACATCACTAGTCATCACTACAGACATCACTACAGACATCACTACTGACATCACTAAACACATCACTACTGACATCACTACTGACATCACTACAGACATCATTACTGACCTCACTACCGACATCACTACAGACATCACTACAGACATCACTACATACATCACTAGTCATCACTACAGACATTACTACTGACATCACTACAGACATCACTACAGACATCACTACTGACATCACTAAACACATCACTAAACACATCACTACTGACATCACTACAGACATCACTACTGACCTCACTACAGACATCACTACTGACATCACTAAACACATCACTACTGACATCACCAAACACATCACTACATACATCACTACAGACATCACTACAGACATCACTACTGACATCACTACAGACATCACTACAGACATCACTACTGACATCACTACAGACAACACTACTGATATCACTACAGACATCACTACTGACATCACTACAGACATCACTACAGACATCACTACTGACATCACTAAACACATCACTACTGACATCACTACTGACATCACTACAGACATCATTACTGACCTCACTACCGACATCACTACAGACATCACTACAGACATCACTACTGACATCAATACAGACATCATTACAGACATCACTACTGACATCACTACAGACATCACTAAACACATCACTACTAAAATCACTACAGACATCACTACTGACCTCACTACAGACATCACTACTGACATCACTAAACACATCACTACTGACATCACCAAAAACATCACTACATACATCACTACAGACATCACTACAGACATCACTACTGACATCACTACAGACATCACTACAGACATCACTACAGACATCACTACTGACATCACTACAGACAACACTACTGATATCACTACAGACATCACTACAGTCATCACTACAGACATCACTACTGACATCACTACAGACATCACTACTGACATCACTAAACACATCACTACTGACATCACTACTGACATCACTACAGACATCATTACTGACCTCACTACCGACATCACTACAGACATCACTACAGACATCACTACTGACATCACTACAGACATCACTACAGACATCACTACAGACATCACTACTGACATCACTACAGACATCACTACTGACATCACTACAGACATCACTACAGACATCACTACTGACATCACTACTGACATCACTACAAACATCACTACTGACATCACTGCAGACATCACTACAAACATCATTACAGTCAACACTACAGACATCACTACAGACATCACCACAGACATCACTACATACATCACTACAGACATCACTACAGACATCACTACTGACATCACTACATACATCACTACTGACATCACTACAGACATCACTACAGACATCACTACAGACATCATTACTGACATCACTAAACACATCACTACAGACATCACTACTGACATCACTACTGACATCACTACAGACATCACTACTGACATCACTACAGACATCACTACAGACATCACTACAGTCAACACTACAGACATCACTACATACATCACTACAGACATCACTACATACATCACTACAGACATCACTACAGACATCACTACAGACATCACTACTGACATCACTACAGACATCAATACAGACATCACTACAGACATCATTACTGACATCACTACTGACATCACTACTGACATCACTACTGACATCACTACAGACATCACTACAGACATCACTACAGTCAACACTACAGACATCACTACAGACATCACTACAGACATCACTACATACATCACTACAGTCATCACTACAGACATCACTACAGACATCACTACAGTCATCACTACTGACATCACTACAGACATCACTACAGACATCACTACAGACATCATTACTGACATCACTAAACACATCACTACTGACATCACTACTGACATCACTACAGACATCACTACTGACATCACTACAGACATCACTACAGTCATCACTACAGACATCACTACATGTAGAAACCATTACAACACTATACAGCCGAGAACTTTCTGTCAAACCCTGTTTCCCTACAAGGCAATTAATTGCATATGAAACTGAAGTATGCGTCACATTTTGTATCCGTTGTTAATCCGTCACTGGAATCTAAAGATAGCAAAAACGTCACACTGAGCTGGACTATGATCACGGAAATCAACACAGCTTATAAAATTGATCGAAATATGCAAAAACCAGATCCAAATATCTGCAGCAAGTGGGGAAACACGTCAGTTTAATGCGTAAAACGGATTTTTAAACGCCTTCATAAAAAGTTTTCTGCTACAGGCCATCAAGCTAAAATCACGTTAATCGATCTTATAGTAGTATTGAAGCAGTGAGGGTAGGGTTGACTCTAATGGTTAATGTTGTGATATAGTGAGGGTAGGGTTCACTCTAATATTTGATGTGATGTAGAGATGGTAGGTTTTGACTCTAATATTTGATGTGGTGTAGAGATGGTAGGGTTGTCTCTTATATTTGATGTGGTGTAGAGATGGTAGGGTTGTCTCAAATATTGATGTGGTGTAGAGATGGTAAGTTAACTCCGATGGTTGATGTTGTGATATTGTGAATTTGAAATTCTCCAGACTACAGGGACAATTTGACGCAACTAATGAATATTTCACTGTAAAACCAAACTGTTGGTAAATAAAAATTGTAACTGAGAACATTTATTATTTTTCCAACAAAAGAATGCTTGATTTTGTTTGTTGGTAAAGCAATTCCGACATAGAATCACGGCCGTGTATATGGTTACACTGGTATTGATGTACACGGACGGTGTGTGTGCACATCGATTCCACTACAGTGTCTGGGAAAACATCACGTCGTACATATTTACTACTAATATTAGGTTTTCTCTTATTCAATTTTAGAATCTATTGATTTTGTGGTAAGATAAAGCATTTAAGAACAGGGCTTCGCAATATTTGTCACCTGCATGGTTTATCTACAGTTTTTTGTGGTCGTATCGCAGAACAATCACGGAAACAGTAATACAGTTAAGAATCCTAGTTATCACTTTAACATGACCTGTAAAACAGAAAGAAAAAAACACGTTACATCGTCTTACCTGTTGGATGACGTGGAATGTGGTTTTGACTTCAAGGATGGAGAAAGTGTCGGCGATGCCCTTGTCGTAGATGGACAAGGCGGTGTCGATGGGGAAGGCATTGTCGATGTTCTGGTCGTTGACGGTGCTTTATTTGGCGAAACATTCGACGCGTGTGATTTTCCATGAGAACGAGAGGCTTTCTCGTAAATGTTGCCGTGGCCATTTACCTCACTATGTTCCTTCGCAATTAATCGTTCATGACTTTTATGTAACACTTTTGTTTTAGAATTCATTCTCGCTCGTTGGTCTTTTGCCCGAATTTTGGTTAATTCCAGTTGTCCATTATCATCTTTGAAAGTTAAGTTGTCATATGCACCCGGGCCTAAGCACAGGCCTTCAAACTCAGCCCCTTTTTGTGGCCCAGGAGAGCCACTGGGCCCTACATCCTCGTCATCTTTGACCCTGTACTTCTCCTTCCGTCTCTCGAGAGGGGAGTTCGACGCTTCACTTTCGCTTCGACTGCGGGAAGTACGGCGTGACTTACTTGACCCGGGGGACGTGCGTATGCTGGTCCCCTTTGACGGATTGGGACCTAAATCCATGGTGAAGTGAAGGATTACCCTACTTAAACCAAGGATACATAACAAGCTCTGCCAACTATGTCCACCTTTCAATCAAACACTATAAGTACAACCACTGCTTTGAAGCGTGTCGAATGGTACATGGACGTCTATGTCCTGACGATTGGTGAGCCAGCCCTAATACACACATACAAAGGGCAATTCTCTTCCTCGACTGATCCGTCTCACTGTTGTCTCTTATCCACGCAATCATCGATCCATGATGAGATAGCATTTACGCTCCAATATGACTTTTCAATAGGGATGCATAACTCCGATAGCCAGCTCACAATCACGTTGTCCTAACGTGTCACCGAGGTTGTGTGGCGATTTCACTGTCTGTCGACAGAGAAATACTGAGCTCTATACGTCAGAGTGTATATGATATATACATAGAACAAATATTTCTTTGCCACGTTCCGAAGACGGCGGTTTTTGTCAGACTCTCGTTTTACGAACGTTATAAATATAATCCCAAGTCTAGTCTAGTGCGCTGACACTTACCTTCAGCCATTTGCATGTTGCATAATGGTAAATACGGCATGAAACCACGTCGTACATGGATAGCGTATAGATTTTCCTGTCAGGTTCCTCCAAATGATAGAAGCAGTGCGTCACGATACTTTATAGCTCTACCTGCAGTGATAATGATTTATAAGTATCATCTCCAGGAAGCTTACCAGATCTCTAAAGATATCTTTAAGATTTTTCAATGGCTTTGAACTTGATAAAATAGTCTTGGTCGCAATGACAAACAAACTGAATCAATGAATAAATTACAGTAAATCTGGAATAAAAATACTGTAGAAGACATTTAAACGGATTGACGAACAGTTTCTAAATCAGTGCCAGATTGAAATTAACGATGAATGGGTGATATATTGAAAAGGCAAAACGATCCAAATTATAGGGGTCTTAGTAATGGTGTTAGAGCTACAAACTACACTGTGGATAGACTCGAAAGGATGGAACTTCAGCTAGAACTACAATGTGGATAGACTGGAAAGAATTGAACTTCAGCTAGAACTACAGTGTGGATAGACTCGAAAGAATTGTACTTCAGCTAGAACTACAGTGTGGATAGACTCGAAAGAATTGTACTTTAGCTCGAGACTACAGTGTGGATAGACTCGAAAGAATTGTACTTCAGCTCGAGACTACAGTGTTGATAGACTCGAAAGAATTGTACTTCAGCTCGAGACTACAGTGTGGATAGACTCAAAAGAATTGTACTTTAGCTCGAGACTACAGTGTGGATAGACTCGAAAGAATTGTACTTCAGCTCGAGACTACAGTGTGGATAGACTCGAAAGAATTGTACTTCAGCTCGAGACTACAGTGTGGATAGACTCGAAAGAATTGTACTTCAGCTCGAGACTACAGTGTGGATAGACTCGAAAGAATTGTACTTCAGCTCGAGACTACAGTGTGGATAGACTCGAAAGAATTGTACTTCAGCTCGAGACTACAGTGTGGATAGTCGAAAGAATTGGAATTGTACTTAGCTCGAGACTACAGTGTGGATAGACTCGAAAGAATTGTACTTCAGCTCGAGACTACAGTGTGGATAGACTCGAAAGAATTGTACTTCAGCTCGAGACTACAGTGTGGATAGACTCGAAAGAATTGTACTTCAGCTCGAGACTACAGTGTGGATAGACTCAAAAGAATTGTACTTTAGCTCGAGACTACAGTGTGGATAGACTACAGTGTGGATAGACTCAAAAGAATTGTACTTTAGCTCGAGACTACAGTGTGGATAGACTCGAAAGAATTGTACTTCAGCTCGAGACTACAGTGTGGATAGACTCGAAAGAATTGTACTTCAGCTCGAGACTACAGTGTGGATAGACTCGAAAGAATTGTACTTCAGCTCGAGACTACAGTGTGGATAGACTCGAAAGAATTGTACTTCAGCTCGAGACTACAGTGTGGATAGACTCGAAAGAATTGTACTTCAGCTCGAGACTACAGTGTGGATAGACTCGAAAGAATTGTACTTCAGCTAGAACTACAGTGTGGATAGACTCGAAAGAATTGTACTTCAGCTCGAGACTACAGTGTGGATAGACTCGAAAGAATTGTACTTCAGCTAGAACTACAGTGTGGATAGACTCGAAAGAATTGTACTTCAGCTCGAGACTACAGTGTGGATAGACTCGAAAGAATTGTACTTCAGCTCGAGACTACAGTGTGGATAGACTCGAAAGAATTGTACTTCAGCTAGAACTACAGTGTGGATAGACTCGAAAGAATTGTACTTTAGAGACTACAGTGTGGATAGACTCGAAAGATTGACTAGAACTACAGTGTGTGGATAGACTCGAAAGAATTGTACTTCAGCTCGAGACTACAGTGTGGATAGACTCGAAAGAATTGTACTTCAGCTCGAGACTACAGTGTGGATAGACTCGAAAGAATTGTACTTCAGCTCGAGACTACAGTGTAGGAAAGAATTGTACTTAGCTCGAGACTACAGTGTGGATAGACTCGAAAGAATTGTACTTCAGCTCGAGACTACAGTGTGGATAGACTCGAAAGAATTGACTACAGTGTGGATTCGAAAGAATTGTACTCAGCTCGAGACTACAGTGTGGATAGACTCGAAAGTATGGTACTTCAGCTAGAACTACACTGTGGATAGACTCGAAAGAATTGTACTTCACTCGAGACTACAGTGTGGATAGACTCGAAAGAATTGTACTTCAGCTGACTACAGTGTGGATAGACTCGAAAGAATTGTACTTCAGCTCGAGACTACAAAGAAAGAATTGTACTTCAGCTAGAACTACAGTGTGGATAGACTCGAAAGAATTGTACTTCAGCTAGAACTACAGTGTGGATAGACTCGAAAGAATTGTACTTCAGCTCGAGACTACAGTGTGGATAGACTCGAAAGAATTGTACTTCAGCTCGAGACTACAGTGTGGATCGAAAGAAGACTCGAGACTACAATGAAACTTCAGCTCGAGCTACAGTGTGGATAGACTACTCGAGACTACAGTGTGGATAGACTCGAAAGAATTGTACTTCAGCTCGAAAAGCTGATGGATAGCTTCAGCTCGAGACTACAGTGTGGATAGACTCGAAAGAATTGTACTTCAGCTCGAGACTACAGTGTGGATAGACTCGAAAGAATTGTACTAAAGCTAGAACTACAGTGTGGATAGACTCGAAAGAATTGTACTTCAGCTAGAACTACAGTGTGGATAGACTCGAAAGAAGAGCTCGAGACTACAGTGTGGATGTGAAAGAATTGTACTTTATCTCGAGACTACAGTGTGGATAGACTCGAAAGAATTGTACTTCAGCTCGAGACTACAGTGTGGATAGACTCGAAAGGATGGAACTTCAGCTAGAACTACAATGTGGATAGACTCAGCCGGACACCACCGTGTGAATAATAAGCTCGAAATAATGGCGCTTCAGCCGGACACCACCATGTGGATAATAGACCCGAAATAATGGCGCTTCAGCCGGACACCACCGTGTGGATAATAGACCCGAAATAATGGCGTTTCAGCTGGACACCACCGTGTGGATAATAGACTCGAAAGCTCAAGATAACATGGTATATTGACTTACAAATGGTATTCAAGTGAGTGTTCTCATTAGAGACTCGAGTGTATGGTCGTAAAACGACTAATGGCTAGTAGAGATTAGGTTAAGGACAGAATCGAATTGGGGTGTTCGGGCCAGAGACATGGCACATGGTTGTTTACAGATTAGCATGGATTTGTTGTCTTTCAAAGACTATGAAAGAAAGAGGTTTTCAATAGATCATACTCTGCCTGGGTAATCCTGGAGGTACGTTCTGGATGAGTAACTTTTAACTTATATAACTGAAGGCTACTTTCCCTCATTAATAAATATGTGTGTGTGTGTGTGTGTGTGTGTGTGTATTATCAGATTTTCATGAAACCTTGAGCCGCTTATGAACTGTTCTATCATTGTAATTTGGAATCTTCTTTGAATTTATTGAGTCGCTATTTGAACATATTTTAGTGCATAAGTAGTACTTATTGTCCGTTTAAGAAATAATGTATTATATACAACACGTATATTTAAATCCAAATACCAAGGAAGGGATCGGCGTACCCTACGGTCGACAGAGCCTCGGGTTAAGATCATTTCCTGAAAGAAAGACCACGTGAGAATTAATTAGAACATTCAGATTGGAATTATGGCTTAGAAATGTGGGTCAGGCTTCAATGAAGTCATGCATAAATAAGGTTGAGGGCGTCATTTCCGGGTAATGGGGGTGGGGATGGGGGTGGTACCGAGGATGGGGATGGGGCGAGAATAAGTTAGGATGGGGGTGGCACTGAGGGTGGGGGTTGGGTGGTACTAGGGGTTGGGATGGGGTGGTACTGAGGGTGGGGATGGGAGTGGTACTGGGGTTGGGATGGGGGTTGGGATGGGGTGGTACTATTCAAGATGGGCTGCGTCATATATGATACTGCAAAGCACACGTGCGCAACGGTCACGTTGAACAGCCGAACCTGTTAGAACCAAACAAGCAGCACAATCAGTCACATAACTATAATAAAAATTGTTGTTTTGATATCACGTTGATATTTCATCAAACAACATGATAACGTCACTAATGGAGTTCTGCTAAAGACACTAAGTCATTAACAATGTTTACGGCTTGCCTATTTCCGTTCGGATATTCGTAAAACTGAAATGGTCTTTCCTCATGTGGAATGGTGCGTGGGGCATTAAAATATCATAAATGATAAACTGTACACAACGGTCCTACCTTCAGAATGGAGACATGTTGGAGCATGTCCTTTACTAGACACGTGTTGATGATAGTACTGTCAGCAGAATGGAGACTAGACACGTGTTGATGATAGTACTGTCAGCAGAATGAATACTAGGCACGTGTTGGCAATAGTGCTGTCATCAGACTCGGAGACATGATGAAACCTGTCATCAGACTTGACACATGTGTGGAACCTGTCATCAGACTCGGAGACATGATGGAACCTGTCATCAAACTTGACACATGATGGAACCTGTCATCAGACTCGGAGACATGATGGAACCTGTCGTCAGACTCGAGACATGATGGAACCTGTCATCAGACTTGAGACATGATGGAACCTGCCATCAGACTCGGAGACATGATGGAACCTGTCATCAAACTTGACACATGATGGAACCTGTCATCAGACTC